TTTTGTGTGCGTGTACCATCAAATCAGATCTGACTGGTACAGGAGGATATTGCGCCTCCTTCTCCGGCAGAGCGTCTGGTGGATTTGAACCGCGTTCCTCTGGGATTGCTGTGCAGCTTCTTGCCACTAGGCCACCAGAGCTCCCCATGCTTAGCACTTTTTATTCCTAGTATATTCTGAAGTTGTTGTTGTGTGCCACTGAGTCAGAACCAACCCATAGCTGACCCTTCAGTGAGTTTTCAGAAGCAGTAAACGGTACGGGAGGAGATTGTCCATCCTTCTCCCGCAGAGCAGCTGGTGGATTCAAACTGTGTGCCTTGGTGATTGCAGTGCAATTTCTTACCACTAGGCCCCCAGAGCTCCCTCCTGATAGAAGTTTTATTATTGGCTTGTTGCCTTCTTCTCTTTAGCCATTCAGTGAGAACTGACTCAAAGCTGACCCTCCAGTGAGTTCAGAGATATAAGCTGCTTTGTGGAGGAAAGATGGGCAGTCTCCTCCCCTGTGATTTACAGCCCCTGAAAACCCACTGCAGGGTCAGTTATGAGGCAGTTCCAGCTCGACAGACAGTACATAACAACAGGTTCTAGTGGGTTTGAGTTGGTGATTTTCATTTATTCTTCACGAGTATAAGGCTAGAGGTGCAAAGTTTTATTCTAAGACAGTTCAAGGCATTTTGGGGAATGCCAGAGCCAATCTGTGAGAAGGAATGGAATTTTTAAAATAGTGACTATGGTATCCTGAGTTCTTCAGGGCTAGGAAATCTATTTCATCAGTAGGAGATGAGATGATTGCTTTTGAGAGGGTCCCAAACTGTGGGGGTGTTTGGTGGTTTTTTTTTAAGGATAAAATAAGTTTTTATTTATAGTCTTAAATCCTAGTGTTATTTTGTGTTCACTTTTAAAGGGAGAATGTTTATTTCCAGAAATGTTTATCTATCAAAACCATTTCCTTTTCTCTTTTCAGGCTAGGTCCTTCCACAAAAGCGTTCCTGTCAAAGCATTTCCTGCTTTTCTTCAGACGGTAAGGAGATTAACAGAAAAGGCTCTATAATTAGTGGAACAGATGTTTGTAATCTTTATTTGAGAAAGATGATAATACAGTTTTTTAGTTTGCAGCCTTTGGTTTTGTTTCCCTCCCTTGTGATGAGTTTTATTCCCGTTTTAGCCATGGTTTTCCTTGTATTTCCTTCAGGTGGGTGAGCAGAGTTGGTAGCACAGACTGCAGCCAGACTACATGTGTTTGAATCTACTTTGCCACCCACTTACCTTAGGACCTGAAGTTCCTTAACATCTATGTTCCTCAGTGTCCTCATACGTAAAATAGGAATAATAAAGAGCACCTGTCCCATTGCCTCCTTAACTTACCTATCTTTACATACCCAACACCTGTTGTCATCAAGTTCATGCTGATTCTGACCATATAGGACAGAGGAGAACTGCCCCATAGGGTTTCCAAGGCCACAGTCTTTGTAGGCGCCGACTGCCACACCTGCCACATTGGTCATCTGTAAAGTGGCCGGTGGCGTGGATGCTACATAGTTTTTTAAATATTTTTATTATGATTTGAGTGAAAGTGCACAAACCACAATCAATCATCCATATACATTTTGGTTTGAAACTTTTTCTCTATAGTGACCATGTTAGTAACACTCGTCCACAGACCGTTACTCAGTCAGCTGCATCATCTTAACCCATAAAGCTTTTAAAAATTAGAGGTTCTTAGAAGGGGATTGGTGCCTAGAGGAATCCATGGTGTTAAAAATTCCCTCTAGTGATTCTGATGTATAGCCAGATGTGGAAGCTAGTTCTAAAGTACATGAACAAATGATCAGACTAAAACTCTTTACCATCAACTCATAGCTGATCCTACAGCTAGTTTCCAAAGCTTTATCATGGGAAGAGGGCAGCTGGTGGATTCAAATTGTCAGAGAAGCGTGACCTTTGAAAAATCAGTGCAACTTCCTACAAAATGCACCCCCAGTGTTGTTAGGAGACTTAGTTTCATAACATTTTTGGCTAGGTAATTTCATACATTATTTTTATTCTTCCTAGACATCTTTTAGATTCCCAGGCATGCAGATTGAAAGTTTATGTGCTTTTTCCAGTACCAAACATACCTTTCTTCTTCTTCCCTAAAGCATCAAATATATTTCAAGTTTTATTTCTGTCCATTGACCTCTTTTATTCTCTTAAATCTGAATGTTTGTTAATTTTGTTTATTGATTTTGCTTATTATGAAAGTAATACATTATAAAGTATTACATTAATTAGAATGAATTAATTATAATTAATTGAAGTATGAAAGTAAGATGTCAATTAAATGTTTATAGACCATGATGTTGTTGAGAACTGTCATGTCAGAATCGATCCATAGCTGACCCGCCAGCAGGTTTTCAAAGGCAATTAACCACACAGGAGAAGATTGCCCATCCTTCTCCCGGGGAGCAGCTGGTGGCTTCAAACCGCATACCTTTGAGATTACAGCACAACTTCTTGCCACTAGGCCACTAGAGCTCCCTTTATAGACTATAAGAGGATATAAAAGAAGCTATGAACATCTCACAGTTCTATTTTTTCCAGGGATAATATCTGTCCATCTTTTTTTGGCTTTAGGCAGATATTATCATATACATTTTTTTTGGTATAAATGAGATATCAAGCATCTCTTTCCATGTAAATTGTATTACTCTTTTTAGTGGCTATTTCTATTTAGTGACTATATTACCACCTGTTGAACTTACTTTCTAAGCCAGCTCTGTAAGATTAATTTTGTTCACTTTTGTGAAGGAAAAGAAAAGGCTATTTTTAGCCCTGGCTTGCCTATTACAGTCACTTGAGGAGTGTTTTAAAAACAAGCAGAAAAACTCAGAAACAATGGCCCCTTCCTAGACTGATTAAATAAAAATATCTGAGAGGCCAGGCCTTGCCAGCCTTCTGAAAGCTCCCCCAGTGACTGAAGTCCAGCTAGGCCTGGGAACCACTCTCTGAGAGTAGAGATTCTCTAGGTGTGATCCTGGGCTATCAGAGTAGGAACTTGTGAGACATCCAGATCCTGGGTTCTGCAAATCTACTGAAGCAGAAACTCTGGTGCTGGGGCCTGGCTGTGTTTCTGTCTTGTGCTGGGAGAAGCAGAAGTGTAACCTGAAAAAGGATGGTGTTCAGCTGGCTATTACTGTGAACTAACTGGGTAGAAACAAGGATTGAATCTTTGTGTGAGCTCTATTTAGATGCCACTGACTTGAGAAAGATAAGTATTGGTGCCCTAAAGATTGCTTCTGATATCTTGGGATCAAAGTTGCTTTTTTTTTTTTAATTTTATTTTATTTATTTTGTGTGCATGTACCGTCAAATCAGATCTGACTGGTACAGGAGGATATTGCGCCTCCTTCTCCGGCAGAGCGTCTGGTGGATTCGAACCATGTTCCTCTGGAATTGCAGTGCAGCTTCTTGCCACTAGGCCACCAGAGCTCCCCCAAAGTTGCTTTTAAAGGTGGAGTTCAAGGGGTCTGGAACAAGAAGGAAGGGTGCAGGAGTCCAGTAGGGCTGTTTGTTCCATAGTCTTCCTTCCCATGATGTTGGCCAAATGTCCTGTGCTTTGTATTCACAGAGCCAGTGTTTATCCGGCTTCCTTACAGACAGTGTATTCTTCTGTAATCAGTCTTTCACGCCAGGATGACTTGATCATAAGTTCCTGGAACACACCTTTCAATCTGATATTTAACCTAATAGACCTTCCTTTGGCATCTATCCACTACTGTTCTAAGCCTTGGCATCTGTGTTTAAAACTTGGTGGTTTAGTGGTAAAAGTTATACTGCTGACCCAAAGGCAGGTGGTTTGAATCTACTAGTTCCTCCACTTGAGAAAGATGGGCAGTCTCCTCCTGTGTGATTTAAAGCCTCTGAAAACCTGCTGGAGGGTCAGCTATGGGTAATTTCCGACTCAGAGGTACACAACAGCAACCCCTCATTAGAAGGGCTTTGTAGTATTTCTCAGAGACTTTTCTGTTGGGTTCCAAACCCAGATTAACTCCCTGCAGAAAATTTTCATTCTACCCCAAATTAAAATACCCACTGAATCAAAATCTATGTTTTACCAAGATTCTCAGATGGTTTGGGAGACAGGTCAGAGTGACCTGGAGATTTATATAGGTCCGTTATAGGGGAAAAAATTTCCTTTTTCCTGAATTGTCTGATTGACATTTTTACTAGTTGTCCTGATGGGATACTTAATATTAACTTTCAGTTCTAGAGTGCTTAATTGTGTAATTTGAAACTTTACTGGACAGTATATTGAGTGCTGAGTTTGGATTCATACAGGCCTAGTTTCAGATTCCAGCTGTGCCTTTTCTAGTTCTGTGACCTGGGTGGGCTTGCTGTTTGACTGCTGTAGGTCTCAATTTCCCATCTGTAATAAAACGTTTCTCCCATGCTATCATAAAACTCAGTGACATACATGTCACAAGGATTAAATGACATGTAAGATGCAAGCACCTGACACATCAGGTTTTTAAAAATTTATAATACTGTGTATTTATAAGAACACAGGAATATGGATGCTGTTTTACTGTGGGTAGAAGCAAGGTTTATTTCTCAAAGGATAGATTTTTTTTACTCAAGACTTTTTTTTTAATTTTTATTTTATTTTATTATTTTTGTGTGAGTGTACTGTCAAATCAGATCTGACTGGTACAGGAGGAGATTGTCCCTCCTTCCCCGGCAGAGCATCTGGTGGATTTGAACCGTGCGCCTCTGGGATTGTAGTTGCAGCTCCTTACCACTAGGCCACCAGCGCTCCCCTTACTCAAGACTTTTTTGTGTAAATGCTCCTACATACTTCTTTTTACATATATCTAGAGACTATGCAGATGAAAGTACTAACGTACCTTTTTGCAATATGCTGTAGATAGATGTCAATTCTAACTCATAGTCCCACGATATAGCAAGGTAGAATTGTCCCTGGGGATTTTTCTGGGTGGTAGTTTTTACAGACACAGATTGCCTTGTCTTTTCTCCATGGACCTTTTTATTATTATTTGCTGTCTAGTTAGAACTGACTCATAGCTGTCCCTTCAACAAGTTTTCAGAGGCTGCAAACTGTGTAGAAGATTGCCCATCTTTCTCTCATGGAGCAGCTAGTAGATTTAAATCACCTGACTTTGGGTTGGCAGCTCCGTTCCTTACCAGTAGGCCACTGGAGCCGCCTTATGCAGCCAAGGGCTTAACCATTGTGCCACCATTTTTTAAAATTTATTTATAAATAAATAAATACTTATTTATATACCTGCTCTCCGTGAGTCTCTGTGTGAGGATAGTCTTAACATTAATGAGCACCTGTGAACTCACCCTTTAACCTGAGTAGAATGCCACTGTTATATTGGTTCTACTTAGGTGTTTTCCTATCCTATCCTCCTGCCTCTGCCCTTGTTTTACCAGGTAATCAAAATTAAACCAAACCCTTTGCTGTCTAACTCATAATGACCCTGTGTTTTCCAGAGTAGAACTGCTGCAAAGGGTTTTCTTGCCTCTAGTCTGTGGAAGCAAACTGCCCTTTCAGAGTGCTGCTCAGTGAATTCAGACTATCAGCCTTTAGGATAGTGCTTGTTATTGGTTCCAAATCATAGTGACGCTGGGTAAATAGAAAATGGCCCAGTCCTGAGCTGTCCCCATTCGCTGCTTGAGCCCATCTCTAGAAGAGACTAAAAAAGACATAAATAAATGGAAATAGGTTTCAGGTCCCTGGATCAGAAGGTTGTATTACTAAGACACCAGTACTATCCAGAGAAGCCTATAGATTGACTGCAATCCAATAAAAATTCCAGCCAAATTCTTTAACTTCTATAATTCAGTCCTCAAGTTTATGTGGAATGCCAAGAGACTTTCTGGGATCATGGAGGCTGGATTAACCCTTGACTATTGCTCTGTGTTAACCAAAATAGCTACTTTAAACCTTGTAAACCAAAATAGCCCCTAAAACCATCTCAAATAATTTAGCTTAGCTAGTGAAAAAAAAAAAGACTTTTA